TTTCTTATTAATGAAATGTTTGTTAAGGATGTCCTTTAACCTTTATATCCTTTATATATTAAAGTATATAAAGGTAAACAACATATATTTTAATGTACATATTTAACTTTCCTTTCATTTTTTCTTCCAATTTTGGAGGGATAAATTTTAGTGAGTCGGAAAAAAAATTAGTCCATCAACTTTTCAATCCTTCATAATTTCCTTCTTTACTAAATATAGTTTTTTTTATCTATTTTTCTAACTTATTATCATTTTATTTTTCTATCCTGTACCTTTATGAATTTATCAAGTTAAAAGAGCTCATGTTTGTTTTAGTGTCTTTTTTTTCATGATTCATTCAAACTTTAAAAGAGTACCTAGCTGCTACTTAGATTTTAGATGTTGAGGTGGCGACAAGCATCTGGCCTTCTTCTAGTGTAACTTAATTTTGATTTTGGAGAACTGGCCAGGTATTCTAGATGTCTTTTTTGAATATGGAATATGACCTTAGATTATCTTGAAGTCATCATCAGCACATCACAAGTTTGGTTGAGCACAGTTTTGTTTAACATGCATTGCTAGGAACACTGGAACCTTCCTGTGATCATAAGCTCGTAAGTTAGATCCACATACTGGCCTCTATGACTTGGATGCTTCTGCATTTATGAATCAAATACTATGATCATAGGCTAGGGGCGTAGGCAAAACGTTGCAGAAACAGCTATAGTTTTTTTAGGTTCTGTTTGACAACACCTTTTGATAATTCTGCAAGTTTAAAAAGATAACTTTTAACTTTGTGTGGATTGATCCATAGGATACGTGGTTGCAAATCTATACAGAAACAGTTGTGGTAACATAAATTTACATTACATGTGGTTATAGTCAGGGAAAGGAAGGCTAACTTGGACCAAAAAAGCAAACAAGTATTTGCTTACAAATAAAAAAAAAAATATGACTATTTGGGTCAAACAACCAAGTTTGGGTAAACCCAAATACTACTTTTTTACTTTTTTTTGTTATTTAATTATTCGTGTTAATTTTATTTGTTGTGTCCACCCTTGAATTGATCTTAATTTGTATATTTATGAGATCTTTTGGCTTTAAATTCGTAATTTGAAGTAGGGATGTTCACCAAACCCTAAGGGTAGGAAATATAGTTTTTTGTCTTCCTACCTGATACTTTATGGAATAATTTTTTCTTGTCTTACCCTACTGTATCATTTTAATAATTCAATTAAATAACATGTATCAATTTAACAACACAATAAATCAATAACACTAAAAGCTAAAATAACTACAACAAAAATTACAATAAAACATAGAAAACATGAACATCAATCTATCATAATTGTTACACAAATACAGTAATAATTATCTTAAGTTTAAACCATATGAAACACATTAAAATCATAACTGTTCCAATAAATCACCAGTTTACTACAAATCATGTAACTTACATAAAAAACAAGTCCATGTTTTTGCAATTCAAACATCCACAACAATAACAATGTTATAATATAAATTATACTACACAAATACTCTTACAATTACTAAAAAAAATATAAAAAAATTAAACATATTTTTTGAGGGTAGGGTAATGTAGGAATGCGGAAATTGATGGGTATTCCGTATTCTTACTTGATTTAATCGAAAGACCAAAAACACTTCCCCATTCTTACCCGATTTTTGTGGTTAGTCATTCAGTAAGGTATGGTCGGGTAGGGTAGAAAATTGAGACCAATCAAAAATTTGAACACCCCTAATTTGGAGGTAAAAGTATTTGCAAATGAACTACTATAATTGATTTTTTTTGTCTAAGATTGATGATTGACTTATTTCAATTGGATTCTAATGGTATTATTACCCTTACTTCTTAAGTTTTTATTTGATTGTTTTACAATTTTAGTATAAAAAGATGTCAAAGTCAATTACAAATACATGTAATAAACCTTTCATTTTAGTAAGAGTTGTAATTAATCTGTTTTTATAGTTTTTCTTCATATAAGACAAACCTTTGACCCTTTTTGATTTAACGAGCTTTATGTATAATCTTACATTTATTTTGTATTTCTATATACATGTGAATTGAGTGTAATTGACGGTTGATTTCATTATGACTATTTAATAAATAGTAGTATTGCTCAGTAATGACCTTTTTCGTTTATATTAAAAGAAAGAATAATGCTACATGGACTTAAAGAGTAGATTTAAAAACTAGACTTGATAATCTCAACCATTGATTTTACTGTGGATCCTAGTATTTATTGGGATCTACTACCTATTCAATGGTTGAGATTATCAAATCTAATTTTTAAGTTTAGTTTTTAAGTTCATCTAGCATTACTCTAAAAGAAAGAGCTTATGACACTAAGCTTTTATAAGATTTTTTTTTGTGGGCGGTTTAGATTTTAATAGAGTTTAAATTTGTGATCTACACTATTTTATTAACATATGAAAAATATAGGGTCATTTTTGCGAAAACTTAAAGTTATTAATTTTTTTATGCTAGAGCTGACCTTAGTTAAAGTATCCACCCTTGAGTTAGTTTCTTTGTTAGAATAGCCATAGCAACCTCGTAGTGTCAATACCTAGAATTAAATCAACGTTCTTTGAAACTGTGGACAGACCTTAGTCCATTCATAGACTGGCGTGCCATTATTTATGCACTGAAAGACATTGATTATTGGCTTGTCATACAAACGAATGTTAAGGTACATGGTCGATCAAAAAAGATGAATGTAATTTAGCCAAGTTTTCGGATCTACAACATACATGCCTCTATGCAAATCACAAACTGGACTGTTATGCTACGTTTCTATTCATTTATTAGGGGATCCAGTTAATGATTCCTGTAAGATCCCCTCTTTCCCTGTAATTGCATTCTTAATCTTGATGTATTCCACAGTTTTTAGATTAGAAAATTGTTTGAAATTTCAGACCTTGCATTATCTATCTATGTGATAACTTTTGTCTGAAGACACTGTACAAAAAATTGAACATTGTTCTTGAACACGGTCACTATGATCAACAAAACTATATGACAATTATCAGAAATTTCAATGAATATATAGAGTAATCAAACTTTAATAATCAAAGTCCCATTAATCTATATTGATAATGCATAAAAAAGCTTCACTTATCCAACTTAATGTCAGGATTTTGGTAAAATAAAGTGGGTCAGAATACTTTCTTTTCATTTGTTAGAAAAAATGCAATTAGAAGGATGTTCAAGCCTAAATGTACCATTTATGCTAAAAAAATTTGTCAATTTTAATCAAAAAACATTTACTTTGTTCTTTTAAAAATATTTGAACAACATTTCTACTAAAAATAGGATCTCAATAACCTATTAACTTGTATAGAAAATCAATAAAACATTAATTACACAATCTACGCTCTAGAAAATGTTAATTAAACAAATAAACTTTAAAACTTGCATGACATTCCTTAACTTATATTGCACCAATACAATCAAATTGTGTTGTCTATTTTAAACGAAGACCCACAAAACAATTTGTGCTACTATACGATAGAGCAAATAAAATTGATGTTTTTAAAACATAAACAACATACCAATCTTATCCATCTAAAATAGCATAAAATCATTCTTCCTACATAAACAACTAAACACAACAATTGCACCATATGAATAATTATAAAAGTGACAGATCAAACATAAGATTCTATGGTACAATTGTTTTCTAAAAAAAATGGAATAAGCTCATAAAATTTTTCAATCCTATGCAACTTCAATCACACAACAAAATGACAAACTATTTCTAAATCAGTCTCTACCTCAATGAATCAACAAAAATCAATCTTTGCCCAAATCAATGAATTACATTTTATACCTTCCTGCATGTATCAAACAGTTGGGTAGCACATAAAATTTAAACGTAACAACATTTATCAATAATTGATAAGTGTGATTAATAATAGAATTGTTTTTCATAGCAAAGATGAACAATTTAATATCACCTAGTGGGGTGATACAGTGAAATACCGACGGAATTTTTTACCCTGATATTGGAGGTTCGAGTCTTAGAGTTCACATTGGAGCTCAGTGGTTGACTGACTGCTATATTAGTCTAGCTAGGTTCATTCCCGAAAAAAATAACAGGCGTAGTCAAGGATCTAATGATCCCATTAGTGAGAGCCTATCATAGTGGTATCTGAGCGCTCTTCTTTGTCCCCACCCTTTTTTTAATTAAAAAAAAAAAAGAACAATTTAGAGCTGATAAGTACTAAATATTCAAATAACAGCTTGCAATAATTGGAGGAAGACGCAAAAGTAAGGAATGAAGCCTTTGAAATGCTCATCGGAAGTGGCCTTAGCAATTCAAACTACTTAACAAAAAATATATAAGCTCAACTCTCGAACAAATTTTTTTTTTGGTTCAAAAAATCCATATTCAATTACCATCGCCAACCTTAATCACCTTCTTCTATAGAAACAATGCGGCAATAAGAAGTATAGAAGAAAAAATTATCAATTGTTAATATACAATTAAATAGTACCAAAATCAAGCAATCACGCTCAACTCAAAGGTCTTTTAATCACAAAAGTATGAAACTCAAAATAAAACTTCACAAACTATAACTTAAATGATTTTGTAATTGCTATTTCAATTCAATTGAATCAAAATAAATGCAATTATATATCCAATTCGAACCGAACCTCAAGTTATAGTTGTTCAAATATGCATCAAATCAAAGTTTCTTACCGTATTCTAAAATAATATAATCAAACCAAGTTCACAAAATCCAAAGTGAACTTAATCAAACCGAGTTCACAAATCTAAATTAAAGCTAATTAAATTGAATCCAAATTCAACCTAATCAAACCAAATTCACAAAATCCAAAATTGAACAAAATCCAAGATAATTGTGTGTGAAGGAAATGGTGTGTTCTAATTTCCATCATCCTAATTCCAATAATCCTAATTACTTTAGCTCCAATTACTCCCAATCTTAATTCAAACATATAATTCTCAGTTACTCCAAAAGTTTTAAATAGTTCCAACAATCCCATAATCCTAATTTCAATAGTTAGTTCCAATAAAATTCTAATTTCAATAATCCCATAATCCTAATTCCAATATTTAGTTACAATCAAATATTAATTCCAATAATCCCAAATACTAACGCACATATCATAATAGATTTGGTACAAATTAAACATGAAATTCGAATTAAACCTAATCAAACCAAGTTCAAAAAATTCAAATCGAACAAAATCCAAGAGAGTGTGTGGGTGAAAGAAAGGGTGTGTGAGTGTGTGTCATGCATTCTGGGGTGTGGGTTGCTTTGTGTTTGTCGTGTGTGTGTTTTGTGCGATTGTGTTTGGTGTGTGTGTGTTATGGGTTTAGAGGAAGAGGGTGATTGTGTTGTGTGTGTGAGTTTTTGGGAAAGGGGGGATGTTGGGTATATTTTTTGGGCGGTGGGTTGTGTGGAGAGAGAATGTGTTCTTGGGGAGTGGGTTACACATAAGGGGAAAAAAGGGGTTTGCATAGAAGGGGAGCTTGGGGGGAGGGGCGAGATGTTCTTTGTGTGTGTTCTATGTGTGAGTGAGAGAGAGATGTTAGAGAGGAGCATAGAAGATGGAGACATACCTGGCAGGGGTCTGGCGGAGGCAATGGCGGTGTGGATATGGAGGTGGCATAACATAGAGTGAGAAAAGAGTGAAAATAGGGACTTGAAAAGGGCGAAAAAAAAAAGAAGGGATGAAGTACAACTGTAGAGGGGTGGCATGGTTTTCTGACAGAGGAGTGAGGGCAATGAGGTGCGAGAGGATGGAATG